GGATTTGGTTTCTTTCTCTTTTGCCTCATTGCTACAAAAAGGAATCAGCCACGGTTGGATACCCGGAAAGCAGGCTGAGCTCAGTGCGTTCATCAGTAGATGTCAGTAGTGCTAAGACTGAAGGCTCAGACGTGTGTGAACCCAGGGTCTCAAGCCTGCAAGGACTACTTTGTTATTCTTTTTTTTTTTTTCATTTCATTATCTTGTCTTTACCTGGTTATGCAGCCCTTATTGAGATTAACTGCGGGCTGTTTGTTGCTCTACCACCATAGCCTACGTGAATTATCGTGCCTAACCTAACCGCTGCGCTGTCCTTGCTGATTCGCAGTGTGTTTTGTAAAAAGCGATTCTGTTCCAGTTCCCGCTTTAATGGCTTCCCGTTGCCCTTATTTGTTTTGGCGCTGGACATTGAAGTTAGGCCCTCGTACACGTGAGGCCAGGGCCGTGCCGTACTGTATTCCCAGCTGCTGTTAGCTTTAGATAAGTGAGTGGCTTTGCCAAGGGGTTTGTGTGCAAGAGCACCTGTCGGGGTGCAGGGGTTCATTACTACAATCTCCGCTTACTCTCAATCAATTTATTGATTGATGGATTTTTGCCTTGAGTTGGTGTTTCGCTATGTAGGCTGGACTTTAACTTCAGGGCCCAAGTAGCTCCTCCCCCCTCAGCCTCAAGGAACTTGCATTGCAGGTGTTCGCCCCTATTGGTTTTATTTACCTTTTTCTCTCGAGGGGGAACAAAAGCAGCCATTTCTCTTTAACCACCCGTCCTGTTCATGGCTGTGTAGGCATGTTGTCTGGAACCCCTCGCCCAATGGTCGACCCTGAAGGTGTTCAGAAAGCGAGTTTCCTGGTCCACGTTGCCCCTGTTGCACAGTATTGAAGTTAGACTGTTTGTTCAATGGGTTTGTAAATTATCTAGTTTAGCGAATGATCACAAACTAGGTAAGTTCAGGCTTAGGAACTTCACGGGAAGCATGACCAAATGCGTAAGCACATGCGTGACACATGGCTGTTCATCTGGTAAGGTGCACAAGATCACACCTGTGCTCAGGAACTAAAAATGATTTTGAGGTTTTAAGTAAACTTCTTAGGCACCTTCCAGATTCTGCCATCTCTGTGATAGCCTTTAAAGGCAAATAGGCAAATGGATCATTCTTTGAATTTCTGGACCATGGGGTATTAAATCCTTATTAACTAGATCCTCAGGCAGAATGAAGCAAATTCAGTAGTTTCTTAAGACTTAAATAGTCATTTCCTTTAAGAATGAATATTTGTAGCATAAATAAATAAAACAAATTTTAGTCTTTTTCAATCCTTTGTATTCTATATTTTGGCAGAACATTAAATTTACTACTTGTATATGATCATCATAAGTCCCACAAAATAGTGGGTAAGTGAACACACGTTCCAGTATGGGTGCGCCATTAAAAAAATTGGAGACTTTTTTTTTTGTTTGAATTTGAATTAGTTTGAATTCTTCTATAAAATAGTTTTCAGTTTGCCTTCCCATCCTCTTATCTTCTGTTTACATTTTATGTTTTAGCCTTATTGGGCTCTCCCGCCTCTCAAGTGGGATTCACTCGGGATCTCCTGAATGTCAGTTTAAACATCGTAGCCTAGTGTTGCTCCAGGGGTGGGCCCTGGACGGTTTGCTGTGATCCATGACAGCCTAAGTGAGGAATTCTAGAGGAGCATTTAGCATCCTGAGCTGCATTTTGTGTGGTCATCGTTGCCTCCAAGTTCATGCATGAACAGATGTGTGCCTAGGGTATACTGTTCAGATCCGGGCCTAGGGTACACTGTTCAGATCTGGGCCTAGGGTACACTGTTCA